AAACAACCACACCGATGTGGCACAAGTGAAAATCGGAGTTTTGCTCTAGTTAGGGTTGCCTATATTAATCCTAAGATAGGTGTTAACACCGTAAGTAATACCTGTCATGTCATAGTGCTGCATCTGCAATATGTTCATCGGTCACCGATCAGTGGCAATGGACTCCTAGCATTGTTGCCCAAGTATCCACGTTAACGGCTTGTCGGGCTTCTACACATTTAACCATTGTGATGTCGTCTATCGGAGTAACTTTACATGGTCACCTGCTCGTTCGTTTAACCGAATTTAGCCGCCCTCGGATGCTCACTGTTAACTATCCATGCTACTGGGGTGATAACTGTAGTCGCATGTAATTCGGTACTTTTGGTTTAATTTGGCGCAAATGAAGTAAAAAATCCGCACCTAGTTGAAACTATTTATTATTCTTCCATCGATCACGAAGCAAATTAAGTAGACGATAAGACTGCCACAGTTAATGCGCACTTTTAAATTTTAAAAGTCCGTTCCCTTAATTATAAACTTAATCAATACCTCTCCTTCGTTTTAGAATTCATCATGAATACCGATGACCTGATATGGCAACTCATTAACAAATCATTTTGTTCCTTTATGGTGAAGACAAAAACGGGAAAATTCTGTCGCAACGAAGATAATGTTACGGGTCTTTGCAGTCGGCATTCTTGCCCTCTGGCTAATTCCCAGTATGCTACTATAAAGGAGCGCGATGGTATCATCTACCTCTACATTAAAGCTCCGGAAAGAGTGCCATATCCTGCTAAACAGTGGGAGCGGATCAAACTGAAGCGTAACGAACAACAGGCAATAGACCAGATAAACAAACACCTCCGCTACTGGGATAGGTGGATTCGTACCCGCGTGAAGCTGAGGTTCCTTCGAACGCGTGATTACCTAAAGCGGATGCGACGCTTAGCCTTATCCCGTCAAAAGAAATTGGAACCGGTTAACCGCAAAGTGGAGCGTCGCGAGAGCCGCAGGGAAGAAAAGGCCCTACGAATCGCCAAATTAGCCAAAACTGTGGAGAATGAATTGTTGGAACGCATTCGAGCAGCAACAAACACCAAGGAGATTTACAATATTGACAAGTCCGCCTTTGAACAGGCTCTTGAGGCCGAGGAGCTCGATACCCAGGAAATGGAACTTGACGCAGATATGGAAGAGGAATCCGAAAATGAGGAGGAAGAGGAAATTGTCTATACCTCGGGATCAGACTTAGATGAGGAAGAGGAGGAAAATATCGAAGACTTTGCGGACGCTTTGGAACTGGAGGAAGAACCCGAGGCAGAGCTTGTGTCTGCTGGCCCTTCAAAAAGATCTAAAGTCAAAATTGTGCATGAAAAGGATGATGATTAACTATTGTTCTGTTGTCTCCTGCCTTGTAAATATCTTTTATTTTCCTGCTTTTGGGCCAGATAAAGAATTATAAAAAAAAACTACTCTGTCTTACATGATGCCGATCTTGGATAAAAGCATTACAGTTCTCGCCGTAAGACCGGATGTTGCACGCTGGTGTTGATACTTGTCCACAACTGACCTTGAATTGCCTTTTTACTCACAAGTGTTCAGTAGGCAGATTGCTGTTTTTCGAGAATTCGCAAGTACGGTTGGGCCACAGCGCATTGGCACATACTTACGTGTTACGCATTCTAATGAATTATTCGCACTCATCTGCAAGTCTCGCCGATGTTGTACTAGGTCGTGAATCATCGATTACAGATGTTTCGCATACT